CAACATGCTGATGTTTAGCACCATCTTAGTTTAGCATGCTAACATTTGTTAATTTCCACTAAACACAGAAACATCAGAGGCTGATGGGAATGTAATTTGTTTAGCAGATATTAGGTCGTAAACTAATTAATGCCCTAATGATGCCACTAGATGAAAAGTGATAATATTTCGACCTGGGGAGTGTGAATGTCTGAATCAACTTTCATGGCAATCCATCCAGTAGTTAGTTAGTGGTCAGGATATTTCACTCTAAACCTCATCGTGCAGCGACAGCAGGGGTAGGAAATCCACCACAAGCTGCCCTTTAGCTCCTCTCCAGTGGCTCCCTGTGGCATCACTGATGGTTCCCCATTTTCATCATTGTTATAGGCCTAATTGATTTTTATATTCTCCAGTTGTACAAATGTGTAGCCATCACAGGCTGACTAAATATTTGAACATTTCGTCATCTAAAATGTGTGTAATGTGTTAGATCCTGACCCGGCGCCTTTTCCTCTCTTAACCTCAATAATCTCCCTAGCTAGTTTAGCCCTGGAGTCCTAATTCAAAATAAGAGAAGTTGCTGAGGAAAAAAGAGGTTTTAACAGTGCGTGGATTTGTTTTGTTTGCTCTCGCTGCTGGCTTGATTTTATGGTACAAAAATAGCTCTTAAATGGCTGCTGATTCTGTGCTACAGGAATAGCCAGAGGATCACCAAAGTAAGTAGGATTCAACCTTTAGGGCTTTGTGCCAAATTTCATCACAATCAGTCAGATTATTGTTGATAAATTTCATTCTGGCTGACATTGCTATCCCCAGAGCCATGACGCTAAAAATATTTATTTAAAAAAAAACCTTGAAAAACTGTTGACTTTTTATTGTAGTCCATAAAAACAAACAGCAATGATAAAAACAACAAGGTGGTAACCATAATAATAATATTCAATATAATGTAAAACAACATAACAATAGACAATAAGAAATTAAATTAATTTAAGGGTTGCCATCGTTCTCAAAACCATCCCATGTACCTAAAAGCTGTGGCGCTACTGCCTGTCCGCAGTAGGGTTATCCAGGGAGCAAATCTGTGGTGCAGTTAGGAATGTTGAGGTGCTGGTTGGGGCGTTAGCACAGGAAGCTGATCCTGGATCGGGTCACCTGACGAGAGAGGTGGAGGTTTGGGATGGACGGTAAGGACGCAGGAGGAGGTAAAAGAGGTGACTGACTGATAGAAAAGTGACAGTAACAGTCTCTCAGTGTCAGGGGCATTCTGCAGTAGAGTTGCACATTAATACGCCCTATTTTATACATACAGTACATACAGAAAACACACACTCTCTCTCTATACACACACACACATACATGTGAGGACATTAGAGTTGATTAACTTTTTAAAAAAAAGGTTCACAATTTTCTAAAGGTGAAAATGAGCACAATAAAATCCCTTGAATTCTTTAATAATCCAAAAAATTACTACAAAGCACCAGTATACTCCAAACATGCTGCTTCTTCAGCTTTCATGTTACATATAGTTACACACACACGTTTGACCCTGCTGTGAAGACAGAGCAGGACAGGTCAGTGGAGCATCCCGCAGTTCGACAGTGCTTAGGTTATAGGAGTTAAATCTGAATCCCAGTGGAGGAGAAAGACTTGTCTCTAGTCTGCCACAGAAAGAAGTGACTCTTCCATTCACTCCCATCCTACATCTACAGTTCCAGTCTTTCCAAATCAAAGTCCAGCAGCACAGCTGATGCTCTTCTGAGTCCGGAGATGGGCTATGGGTGCAGAACGAGGAGGACTAACCTGACTGTGCTGTACATGGGGGCTGAGAGGAAGGACGTCTGCTACATGGCGGTGAGGTGAGAGCGACTGGCCTCAGTCTGAGTGGGAAACGTGCAAGGTGGTTGGTCAGCGCGGCACCTGCATCTGCTGTGAAGTCTGTGATTGGTTCTGAGCGGTGACCTCGGGGCCCCGGCTGGCCAGTCGGCTGAGGATGTTCCTCTCAGACATTTGCAGCCGCACAGCGACAGGGGGTATCCTGGCGATGGTTGCCGGCAGACGTGTGACGTCGGCCTTCATGTCGCTCAGCAGTTCCTCGAGCTGTTTGAGAACTGCAAATACAGCACGTAAATGAGCTCTGAGCTAAACTAACTAACTAAACATTTTAAGACATCACCTCAGAATCCTTAGAGAAATATGAAGAGCATTTTCGCGCTATATTCTGACATTTTATAGTTTAATGATCAATCGATTAATTGAGAA